TCCGGTACGGGGGCAACACTGAGGGTTGCGATCCATTGCCGGACACGGAAAAAGGCAAAAAAAAAAAAATATTTAGTAAAATGTACTACATCCTGTTCTGAATATATTTAAGTTAAGTATCTCTAAAAACAAGACCCTCATCTGCTTGCTGTGTGGAAATGGGCAAGTGCGCTTTGGAGGACAGGAACATTTCTGTATGGAAGCTCAAAGTGTACGTGTGGTGCCAAAGGCAGAGGATAAAGAAGTGGACATGTATGTGTCAAGCCGGGATGCAGCATTTACACAGGTGGGCTCCTTTCCAGTCAGTTTCTCATGTCACAATTGTGGCACTTTTAAATGAGCCCAGGCCCTATTTTTACTAGTTTCCCCTAGTCTTCTACAAAAGTCCACCCCACCTCCCTTCATCTCAGATGATGACTGCCTCTTACTTAATTAAAAAAAAATTGAGGCCATCGGGTATGAATGGCCCCAGTCCCCATCTCCCCTCTCCACCCCCACCACATGCACAGTGTCGGAGGGTGAGGGATCCTCTCGCCTCTCCAGGGCCAATCTTTACACCTGCACCTGTGGTCCCACTCACTCCCCACAATTACAATTATCCCTTCTGTGTTCTATATCCTTAACTTCCATTCCTCACCGCTCCGTTCTAATCAGTCCATACTTGTCTGTCTCATCCTTAGAAGTGACCCTCCCTTGATTCAGCTTCCCCTTGCAGTTATTACATCTCTCTTTCCTTCCTTTCTGTATTAGTGCATTTCTGCAGCTTATAACAGAGTACCTAAATTTATAAAGTAATAAAATTTATTTCTTACAGTTTTGGAGGCTGGGAAGTCCAAAGTCCAGGAACACATCTGGTGAGGGCCTTCTTGGTGGTGACTCTAAAGCAATGCAGGGTGTCATATGGCAAATGGCTTGAGCAAGAGAGAGCTAACCTGCTCGCTCACCCTCCTTATAAAGCCATCTGAATCTCATCCATGGCCACCCATTAAACTATCATCTTATTACTCTATCAATGGATGAATCTGTTTACTAGGGTAAGGTCTTCATAATCTAATCACCTCTTAAAAGCTTCACCTTTCAAATACCATAATAGAATTTCCCACCTTCAGCATTGTTACAGTGGGGATTAATACAAGAACCTCTGGAGGACAAAATTCAGCTCATCAGCCCCTCTGACACAGTGTTTATGACAACTGCACTCTCTCTCTCCTTTCTCACTTCTCGCTTATGCCTCACTCATTACTTCCGCCAAGGTCACCAGTTGCCTGCTAGCTCCCAAATCTAAGATACTTTTCTGTCCTTGCTGGATGTCCCTGCTGCCTTCTACACCATAGACTATTTGGACCTTGAAACTCTCTGTCCTCCTGGCTTGTCTGATGCTACCCTCTCCAGTTTCTCCTTATTCTTCTCTGCCCCTTCCTTCATTCCTCTGTGGACTCCTCCACCCCTGCCTGGTCCTATTACTATTTGGGGAACCCAGACCCCTTTGAAATCTCACAGAGATATGTGTCTTTCTCCCCAGATAAAAAGGACATATATCCTGTGTGTATAAATAACACTACCAGCTGCAACAAAATCCCAACATCTTAATGGATTAGCACAACTAAGGTTGATCTCTTGATTGGGCAACGTCTACCGTGGATTCTCCTCGGCAGCTCTCCTCCGAGTGTGACTTAAGGATCTGGCTTCCACCATGTGTGGCTCAGCCATCTTGGAACCTTGGGAATGGATTAGCACAACTAAGGTTGATCTCTTGATTGGGCAACGTCTACCGTGGATTCTCCTCAGCAGCTCTCCTCCGAGTGTGACTTAAGGATCTGGCTTCCACCATGTGTGGCTCAGCCATCTTGGAACCTTGGGCTTCCAGCTGCACAGATGGGAAGACAGAGAGCAGGAAAGATGCATGTCACTCCTGACCCCGCTCCTCTGGCAGAGCTCGGTCACACGACCCCCCTCGCTGCAGGAGAAGCTGAGAAATGTCGTTCAGCTACTGCTCAGGAAGGAAGGAAGGGAGGAGATCAGATAGTGGTGAACACTGGGAGTTTCCTGGACTCTGCTGCCTACATTAAGAGCTGCTTGGATCCCCAAAGCCCGGCGCTGTTCTCTGGCTTCAAGCTCTTGTTGGTGTTCTCGTGCCTGTCACTTTCCTCCACCCTCTGTGTACTGATAATGTCTCCAGCCCTGATCTTTCCCCTAAGGATTTGACTCTTATATCTAAGATATTTCCTTTGCTTGGGCCATAGACATGTCAAAATCAATGACTCCAAAACTCAACTAACCATCTTCTTCCCTAAACCAATTTCCTATTCTGTGTTTTTGTCCTTAAATAATGGCCTTATCATTTACTTACTCATCTGAGGCAGAAAACCAAATGGCATTCTTAATCTCTTTCTCACCCTCACTTCCTGCAGAAAATCCTCCCAATAACCTCCTAAATGTTTTTTTTAAAAAAAAAACACAAAAACTTAACATATTTCTTTTTAGGTTTATTATTTAAATTTTTTATTTAAAAAAAAATTTAACCATTCAGAAGAATGATCCTTGATAGAGAGAGGAGGGTGGAAGAGAGACAGAGAGAGAAAATGTGGCAAATATTAGCAATTCTTTTTTTCATGAATAATTCAGTCATTCTTCTGAATGACCGAAATTTTCAAAATAAAAATTTAAATAGTAAAACATAAGAAGGAAATAAAGTATGTTAAATACATATGTTTGTGTATATATACACACACCTACATATATTCCTATAATATTCTCCTTCATGATCACAACACAGTCATCATCCTTGGGAAAGTTAACGTTGGTTAAAACCATTTAAATTTCCCCAACTCAATAATGTCCTGGGGGTTTTTTGTTTTTGTTTTTGTTTTTCTGATCCAGGATCAAATTCTGGATCATGCATTGTTTGTCTCTTTGATCTCCTTTAGTCTAAAACAATTTTTCTAAGACTATTTTTTCCTTTCATGGCATAGATACTTTGAAGAGCCAGGGCAGTTGTTTATCAAGATAGCCCTTCATCTGGATTTGATGGTTGTTCCCTCCTTTTTGGCAAGAACATTACCAGAATGTCTTTTGAGCTCATCACATCAG